TAATTTCATTTAATATAGGGTTGGGCATTAGGTTTCTATGAAAAAAGAAAGAAAAAAGGATCAGTTTGAGGAACTGGAGTGGAAGATGATGGAAAGGAAAGTAGATGTGGTCTCCACTAATTTAGAACAAGCAAAAAAATAAAACAAAAAAGAATTGTGTTAACAGTAGATTAACGGTATATGACGGTCAAAATAAACGGCTCAAGCAACAGTGTCCAAATAAGGACGACATTTAATGGAAAAAGGTAAGTGGGAGGATGACGTTGATTAGTGCTCGGGAAGTAGAGGGATGAGAATGAATAAAATTTTAAAGTACAAGAACGACAATTGACGTTAACCCTAAAAAATATAATTTTAACCTATATAAATATCAAAAACATCCTTATAAAATTTAAAGAATAGTATTATATCCTAAGAAAATGTACACCTCTTCAAAGCCACATTAAGGGCCCTCCCTTGGGTCCATTCACTACCATGGTCAAAGAACACAAGGATGGGATGTCACTGCTGAATATATCAGTAGTTTCCTCAAGATGATTTGATGTCTTAGTTGTACCATAATTTCCATTGTCCTTTCAGATATTGAAGTTATCTGGCTTATGAATTTATTCAAAGATACCTTATGGATGTATTATTATTATTATTATTATTTATTTAGATTACATAAAAAGATAATTATTTTTTATTTTTTATTTCATTTTATTTATATATTATATTATTTAAATTTAAAATTTTTTACTTTTAATAAAAAAAATCACTAAATTATTCATATTGTTAATTCATAAATATGTTAATCGAGAAGCATATTAACGATTATACGGGAATTCTCATTGCACTCAAAGGTGCAGCTGAAATTGCTTTCAGTGTATTTTATTTTATACAATTATGTATTATTAAAAATACTAATTTATCATATAAATGGTTAATATTGTTATAATTAAATTAATTTTTATTAATATTTTATTTTTTGTATATTTATATTTTACCATTTGAATTATACATTGAAAGCATAATTTATTTTATTAATTTATTAAAATATTTTTAATAAAATAATATAAAAAATAATTTCATTAATAATATATTTAAATTGAGTAAAAAAAAATAGAGAAAATTTTCCTTTCATTCTCTTATCATCCTCTCATTTAAATAAATAAATAAATTTTAAAAAATAAAATAAAGGATTTTCCTCTTTTTTTCTCCCTTTAATTTTTTTATAACTAAATAAAAGAAAATTTTTTTTCCCTTTACTCCATTTTCTTTTAATTTATACCTACCATAAAGATATTTTAATAATTTTATAAAATAAATTGTAGTTTTAATTTATAATCCGCCTATAAAACTCTCTTTCTTTTCGTATACCATACGCGGAATGGTCATGCTCCGTCGTATTCTAATACGTTTGGATTTGTCTT